ACTCTACAGTGTGAGACATCAAATTTCATGGCTACTACCAAATACTAGTCTTTCGTCTTTTTTCTCTGGCCATGAGCTGTTTCTACAACACTTCACTGGATGACTCAAACTAAACAATCTGTCGAATTAGGCGCACACTGTCATTCTGCTGCGTGCATTCCTGCAGGGGTTCTAGTAATGCGGAACATTGTCCAAAATACGACCCTATCTCCTCCTAGATTTCCACTGCTCCCTACATCCTGCCACAAAAGCGTTCAACTATTGCATACCCATTCCACATATTCAGCACGGCGTTTCGTTATCTGTGTTCTAATTTTTTCATTGAGTACGAAGTTGACTAAAGACAGCCCCAATTTAAAATAAGCAAGCTGAAAAGTACAGGTGCTCTGTTGGAACTGACCTAGAAAGAGCTAATATGTTATTTAATCGAAAATGAATATACAAAAGCTTCAAATTTGTGACCGTCTAATAAAAAAAATAATGAATACAAGCCGGGAAACATCCACAAACTCATCCCTTCTCTTTAGTATAGTAAACGATTCTCTTTGATCTTTTCCAAAGAAATGTAATATGTGCCGACCTGAGAAAGTATTGCATATCGAATTATCGATCGACGCATAAGTCTAGCCTCTTCTGCATGAGCTGGCTCGCTTCTTAGCACTGCTGTCAAAGTAAGTGCTAGGCTGAATAGTAACAATGTGTTCATGAGGAATAAAAATGATGGTAAACGAATGGCGTTTTGATGTCTCGAGTAGCCAAAAGCGGAAAACATCGAGTGTGATATACATAAGACCTAAAATCTCATCGATTCTCACTTCAACTGTATACCAACTTCAGCAATAACAGGCACGGTACCGTACCTCAGAGCGGCGCCTAATAAATTGTAAGTCCGCCATTAACGCATGTGTAACACAGTATCTTACGCTAGTACCACTACTAGAACTGTGCGTCTCGCGACCACACTTCATAGGTAATACAGTTCAAAATAGAATTGCCCTGTGATTGTTGACTTATTGAAGAGAAGGAACCACGAAAAAGCGCCCGCAATAAGACCTTTATTTCAATTGATCATGATCACCGGACGAGCGTAAGGTGGTCAAGATCAATTGTGGATTGCAAAAGGCGGCGAGACACTGATAAGAGACGAGAGAGGCCAGAAAATGACGGGCGAGAGAGCGCAATGGCAATGTCACAACGACACGGTCACCGGAGGCCGGCATGGGCCTATCGGGCGCCAATGGGCCTAAAACATGAGCGCCGTGCGTTCTGCTTGCTGTTTTTCAACTTTTAAAAGCAGCATATCCTCTACTGTTGCCTGCTTGATCATCATGCACGTTTAGGATCTAGCCTTAGTTGATCGCGGAACGTGCCTTTAGGCCATTTCTGTCCTACATTGATCACCAATTGTGCAGCACCGAAATACCTTAAGCAAGAGAACAAAAAGGTGGATTAGACCTATCCCGATAGCAGCGCATTCGAAATACACCGTTCTTCTCTCATACAGACGTAAAGCAATGTGTTGGCGTGGTTTCACCGTCAGTGCTGGTGTTTTTCACGCAGTGTGACAGATCTACATTTCAAAGGACACCGCCTTAGGCTACGGTATCCTGCTTCATAGTACTGAGTTACGATACAGTATGACTCTAAATCCCTTTCGGGAAGGGACATATAGCTGCTTGCACTTATGCGTCTAAGGATTTTTTTATCCAATTATTTTGGATATGTATTAATCTTGGACTTACTTTTCGATCCAACCCATGTTGTTGAAGATTTTCCGCCATCGATCGGCTATGATATTCACAAAGAAGGCAAGCATGAATGTCAATGGTATGTAGTCGAGCTTTGTGTTGCAGTAAAAGGCAATTTTTTCGAATTCTCTGAAACAAGTGCAGCGTCCCAAATTTTCCTTTTAAGACTATCCTATTTTTTGTGTCTTCCACAGTACCGAAGTATTCAATTTCGTGCGCAGTTCCGGTATACTCTACTCCCCTTGTTATCATACCCATGATGCTTGCAGCCTAGAATTGTTCCCGTCAGAGTCCTGTGTCAGATAAGTGTGACTACTCCGAATTGTTACGATTACCCCTTGTAGGAGGTGAGATAGAAAACAATCAAAAAAGGACATTTCTGAAACAGGTGCGTTTCTGCACGCGCTCACGTTTCAGCTACTCTGCAGTTGAATGGCACTCATTACTGAAAAAGTCATAAATTCAATTCATTGATCTGCAGCACGAAAACAGAACATCAGTTATCTAAACTTCTGCTGATCACTTTGGGGCACACGCACCTCTGTTGATTTTCAGTTAGAGCATATCGGTAGATACAAAATACAACATAATAGGCAATGACCCATAGAAGGAGTTCGGTTTTCACAGACTTCCAAATTGATCCACGCCATCGAAGTAGAAGCTTGAGGAACGTAAACGATGACACAGAGGCCACATCGAGGTTATATGAGATCGTCATGCTTCATTGAGCCAACTGAAAAAAGCACTTGACTAATTGTTGCGGTAGCTCAGTCAACAACTACTCGTGAAAAGTGCTGGCGATGATTCAAGACTCAAAAGAAGATAGAAACTACTAAAGAGATGACAGAGCTATGTGCAATGTAAACAGGCATGTGGTATATAATGAGCAAATCTTGTCAAAGATGTGATTTTGACAGCAAGAATTGGAAATGGTAACTGGGAAAAATATGATTCATGTGTCATCAGCTCGTCGTTTGTTGATCAACACGTGCTACCATTGAAAAAGGAGGCATTGAGGCATTAACGCAACGCCCTCGACAGCGAATGGTATGAATCAGATGCGGTCTTGCTTCCATATAATTTGTGATGACCACTTCATTTACAGTGCGTTCAACCTCTTCTTTATGCGTCGCTTTCACCTTATTTGACGAAACCAATGCTGCATATCTCACTCGAGGTAGATCGAAGCGCCAAACCAGTGAGCACCGAACAGGACAGCTCGCAGAATCCGCTGTAGGGCATGCGCGACGGCAGTCAATCGATGGTAAAGAAACTATTCATCGTTCATTTCAATGAAAAGTTGTGTTGAGAAAGTACGTCTAGGACTCTGAATGAGTTCGTTCTCCACCATAGCAGAGATCTATTCTAGATTTGGAGTGACTCAGAGCTTTGCTTTGCTTGATCGCTGGTCTAAAATATCATTCAAGTACGGTCTTTTTCTGTTCTCATGTCAAAAACCCATCAAATGCTCTTCTCGTAACGGCAAGTGTTTGTTGTGCCTTGCGTTTCTGCCAACACTGCGTGAAAGTGATGGACGCGGAGCCCGATAAAGGATTAACCATGGAACTGGGTGAAAACAAGACCTCGCTTTAGAGAGTCGTACTGAAATCGGCATATTATACATATTTAGAATGTTTCGCACTTCCATGGTCCATCTTACTTAGAGATAACAAGAGCGGGGTCTATATGTACGAACTACTGAAGGACGAATTTCAAGGAAAACAGTTCTCTAAGAAGAATTCGGTATCAAGTGGATGTTTAGCGGTTTGCAGTCTTAGAGGCTCCTTTTGTGCAGCTCCGCAGCGACTGGCGAAGACTGCGGCTACTGCAAGCCGCTCGAACACCACCTGCAGCAGTTGTCTCAGAAATCCCTCTACAAATTATGCAACGGTCCCATAAATTGAAACCCTGAAGTAACGCGTTGCGTTCATTCTGCGCGGGACCGAACCTGTGTCTTGATCCTTGCTCGTTCGTTCTGACTCCTGTAAGTAAGTGATGCCAGAGGTAGCTATACCTCTAGAGTGGGCCGAATCGGTGACTGCCAATTCTTGGAGCAGATTGTGTCTTAACATGACTGAACGTTGCTACATTAGAAAGGTATCATGAACACAATCTAAATTGAGAACATAAACATCGTAATTATTTCGTACCGCTTACTTATTCTCATGCACATATACCATAGAAGATATGGTATGTAATACAAGGTAAGGATTACAAATCAATGAAGCGTGTAGCAGCATTCGAAACGTGCAGCATTTAGGTGTCATAGAAGGATCTAGAAAGAATGGAGCAACAAAAGCTGCTGACAATTCCCACTTCGAATGCCTTTCGAGTTTTTCACTTGCACCATAAGCGATGCTTTTACAGTGCAAACACTGAGGAACAAATAGGAAAGGATGCAAGTGAAAAAATTGTGCAACGGCCACGCAACCGCAAGTAAGCATGGTGCACATGGTGCAGCACGCAGTGCACAATGGGTTGAACATGCACGCTTTCAGCGGTTTTTGTCGCAGACGTAGTATGGAGGATAGGCGGTGGATAGAGATAGCTGTCGTGGACAGTGATTCTAGCGGCAAAGATTACGATTTACTGTAGGCTCATAAATGAATTTAAACTTGAAAACACTTAAATATTCTTTTCAACTTTTGCATTGGTAGGTGGCTATACGGACGAAAACAGAATAAACGTCGCATCGCATTTGCGAGAACAAGAAAAGAACAGCATTGTTGTTGATGAGCAGAAGGAGATTTCTTCACTTTTTCATGAGTTTGCTATAATGAATGCGCCACATGGTTCACTGAATCTCCACTGAATGCCCATCCCCTTGAAGAGTGTATAAGCTCATCCTCAAGCCATTATTTTCAGAGCGCTAGCCGGGTTTGTGAGCGCTGTAGAGGATTCACTCAAACGGCATGATAGCGGTATGTAGTGGGTCAGACCACACACGTAAGTAACAACGTTTTTTTGTAAGCTGAAATTTCTCGTCAAGGTTGAAAAGACTCACTGTTGATTCTGAGACTGTTTGATGAATACTTTCTACCCTTATAGAACTGTATGCTTGATTTTTTTGAAGGTTCCATTTTCGCAAGTTTTCAAGCTTTCAAAGAGAAGAGTTCAGCAGACTAATTTGAGCATTTGCACCACTGTTCCTTTTTCATTTACCACTCCTCCTTTTTTATGTGACTGCAACACTGAGATGCACAGACCTACATGATAAATATGTGTTCAAGGAGCGATCTTTCTTAGAACAGCAAGAAACGATTCAAACGACTCAAAGGTTTCTATTTCAACCTCAAAGGCAAGCATCGCTGCTGCTGCCTCATCGAGTCCGACTGGTAGATTACCGAATCAGCCAATTCAAGGAGATTCATGCGAAAGCATTTAGAGTCCTAATTTCCAGCTCTTAATCGTTCAAACTGATTTTCACACGCTCTGGGAAGCACCATTCTTGGATCATACGCAATTCAAGTCTTGAATTGCTTTTACAATTCGAGAGCCTAGAATGAGAGTGGTGGTGAAAAAAGTTGTCTGAAGAACACTTTATTCGAGGGGCAAGAGGACATTAAGCTTTGATGAACTAACAACTGACAACAATGAAAAAAGACCGCAAGCACACTATTTCGTCGAGGGAAAAACTTTTATCAAATAAAATGGGATCCTTCAGAAAAAATCCTCAGCTTTCACACAAAGTTTGATGTGGGCTAATACAGCAGTTAGAAAGGCCTCTTTGCCTCCAGTACCCTGCGCAAATGTTTTTCGCGAATGGCGAATGCGAATTTTTCCAGAAGACCATTTTCTCAAAAATAAGTCATTGCATTTCTGATAACCTGAGATTCAGGAGATATGAAGTCCCATACATCGCTCAACAGGGTGTTTTTAGACTTTCTGCAGAAGTGGCGTTGAGCGAACTTCATTTCTCTATTTCATTCTTCATGATGACCAGCGATCTTACGCTCAGACTTCTTCCACTCGCTCCTACTACATATAGTGCTCTTCCACTGCCCCCTCCCGATTGGGATCTATTACCCAACACCCCATTGTAGAATTGGGTTTTTCGGCCTTTTGGGATATATTCGCCTCGGCGCCAATGTGGGATTGCGACATTACTTTCGACTATGATCGTACAGAGAAAAGGGCTTAATCCGGCAGAATAAAACCTCGAAGGAAGCCTACGGTTCTTTAAACGCAGAACTAGGTCTATGTTATGCGAAACCTAATGGAAACGGATGGCATTCATCGTTCTAAAACTTCAAGAATCGATGATGTCTCACTCGTGTGGGCTAAATGACTGATATTTGTGATTGCCTTGTCCGGTTTTAAGAACTCTGTTTCTTCTCGCACCGCTGAGTAAATGTTAGCTCCGCCATCTGAGCTGAAAATATTTCAAAACTTGGAAGGTCGGTACATCGCTGTGGTCTAGTAGATTCCGTTGGTCGCTATCAGAGAACAAATGAGTAACCCGTATCTAATCAGCCATAGGTGTTGCAGTTTTTCATCAACTTTGAAAGGTGTAATATATCGAAAGTTACAAAGAACTTATCACTCAAGAATCATGAGAAAAAATTAGGCATAAAAACCTTTTATCACTAGATTTTTGGCTGCTACTGCAAGTAGGGTCATCCTATTCTAAGGGCTGCTCATGAGGTGAGAGAATGAGGTCGGAATAAGTGTATCGGACAAGTGCGCAAGCGCTAACAGCAAGCAGTTTGATGTTCCCTCTCACTACGCCGACCGTATCAGTTAAACATAGAATGAAGTCGAAATTGTAAATAGAGTCGTAATCTAGATCTTAAAAAAATACATAAGACCATCCGCTACACCTTAGCGGCATTCTGCACTGAAACTCCTCAATGTAAGGGTGATGAGTAAGCCTTGATAATAATAAATCCAGGTGGAAATTTCGTCCTGTGATAAAATTGCTATGAATTTTAGTCTTGAAGTTACTTAATTATGTGGGAAGCTACAAAGGTGATCGATGGCCGTACAAGTAGTTTGTGGACCCCTCGAATCTCTGAAACTGCTTAAGTAAATGTTTATATATTAAAATCCGAAGAGGACATAACTGGTAAAATGAGATAGCGTGGCTTGGTCATGTGCGGTCATATTGTCCAGTACATTTTCAGTACAGTGATTTACAGGGGAAAGAGTCGCATGTGGCAAACAGTGCAGAAGATAAGTTAAGAACGTAACTAGAAAAAAAAGCTGATGGTGGTCCGGTCAGATTCCATTCATTAATTTTGCATATGGTGGTGTATCTGTGCTGAAGCTATCAGGAGATGAATGCGGAGAAGTGTGATGTTCTCTGGGGACGCTTTACCGTACGTCGCGCCAATCTATACCGACGTAGTAACCGCTTGGTTGTTAAGATTTTTCGCATGCACACACTTTTCGCCTTTTTCAATTTCTCGCGGAGGTCATAAGGAATGGAAAGTAGAACCCAGGCTAAAGCTAAATCACGCGGTCAAAGTCAAGTATAAATCTGAACAGCAAGACCATTTCGGAGAGAATCAGCGTTTCACTGCATTTTTCCCATGAAAGCGAAGCGAGCAGAATCAGAAATGCAATGTTCTCTCATGCAAATGAGCACTACACGCTACTTTTTAAGTTAGGCCCATAACGAAGCGATGTGAGATTTGGTCTCGGTGGCCACCACCTCTCATTTCGTTAGACTGAAATCCAGTTTTTTTTATGAATGTTCCCTTCGGAAGGAAGCAATGA